TGCAATTTACTTCCACACCTCTTGGTAGGTGTGGATAATGCTGTTTGAACATGAGGTTCAGATATATCCCTTTGAGATACCTTTTTTAAAATACCTAGAAGTGGGGCTGGAGTTGTAGCTCAGTGGTAGAGTGCTCGCCTAGCACATGTGGGGCCCTGGGTTCAATCCTCAGCACCACGTAATAAATAAATAAATAAATTGAAGGTATTTTATCCAACTACAACTGAAAAAAATAAAATACTAGAAGTGGCTTTACTGAATTATGTAGTGATTCTATTTTTAATTTTTGAGGAATTACTATACTGTTTTCCATAGTGATTGCATCATTTCATATTCCTGCTGACATTGTACAGGGCTCAAATGATATTTTGATTGTGTCTTTTAGAAAGTAATACTCATTTTCCCTTAATTAGTTTTAGTTATTTTTGTATTATATTTTGGGTGGGGGGGTACCAGCAATTGAACTCCGGGACACTCAACCACTGAGCCACAACCCCAGCCCTGCCTTATTTTATTTTATTTTTTTTTTACCAACAGGGTCTCACTGAGTTGCTTAGTGCCTCGCTTTTGCTGAGGCTGGCTTTGAACTCCAGGTCTTCCTGCCTCAGCCTCCTGAGCTGCTGGTTACAGGCATGTACCACTGTGCCTGGCCTTTGTGTTATTATTTTGATGATAGGAATATCTCATGTGTTTCTAAAGTGTTATAGATTCTAAGATACACCAATATTTTATGTATTGCTAAGAAAGAAAAAAGCTGCCAATTAAATTGACACATCATTGATTGTAAGATATGGCCCAATTTCAGATGTTAGAATGTGAAATAATGTGTACCTTAAAATTGATGAAACATTAGATATCGAATACCTAATGAGGATAATGAGCCTTCTTTAAAAAGTTTAATAAGGAAGAAATTCTTGGGAGTTTATATTTAAATTCTAGATAAACCTGGTAGATCATACACACACTTAAGCTGTTCCTTCCTGAAATTTACTAAAAGAACAGTAATGGGATTGTCAAAGGTCATAAATCTGCAAGGACAAAGAGAACAGGAGAGGACACCATAGCAGATGATAACTGTCTACAATTTGTAGGAAATATTTGAATGACTCTAGAGAAGTTTTGGTGTTTGGTGTTGGTTATAGGGGTTTCAGAACTGGTTACTGTTTGTAAGTGTTTGACAAGAACTGGATATTGTTTGTAAATAGAAAGTTATGAACAAAAACATGAAGCAGTTTAATGTCAGAGAAAACAAAACAAATACACACACACAAGAAAGGAAGGCAGAGTACAGCAGTGCCTTAGTTTGAGTGCTGTTCACACGCTCACAGTAATGTAGAGAATTGATTAAATTTTTATTGACAGGTTGAGGGAAGAGGAAGAGAGAGTATTTGGGTGTTATATGAGAGCTAGAGCTCAATGTGTATGACACAGCAAATCAACAGTGTCTAAAATCAGTAAGACAGAAATTATTAGTGTAAGCATGACATTTAGAATTATTGAAGGATGATCATAAAAACTGCTTAAGGTGCTTAAAAGTAGCTGCCATTATGGAATGAAGCTCTGGATCAGGAGACTGCTCTTTTTATTAGGAGCCTTTTAGTAATAGTTTTAAATTATGTGTATTAAAAAAATTTTTTTTAGATGTTGATGAACATTTATTTTATTCATTATGTGGTCCTAAGAATCGAACCCAGGGTCTCACACATGCTAGGCAAGAGCTTTACCACTGAGCCACAACTCCAGCCCCAAATTATGTGCATCTTTTACTTAAATAATTTTTTTTTAATTAAGAAGAAAAGGAGTCTAGCGTGGTGCTATTTATATTTTCCACTCAGGGATAGTCCAGCAATATAATCTTGATTCGAAATGAAAAAGGAGAGAACATTTTACTGCCTCGTGTGAAATAGAGCTCATTCAGTGTAGCTAAATGGAATTGATAATTGCTCTGACCCACCTCTGCCCTGGGGAAATATTTATCAAATAAGTACTACTATGAGACAGACACCACTCTAGGTATTGGGATCTGAATAAAATAGAAACAAGTATTTTTATTTGGTCATCAGAAAAAGTTGGAAAGCCTTTTCCCTTAGCTAAATAACACTTTAAGTTATAGTCTACCTATGGTATTCTCAGGGATTGGTTTCAGGACTCACTTTTCACCCCCATGGATTCCAAAATCTGAGATGCTCAAGTCCCTTCTGAAAAATGGCATAGTATGTTCATGTAGCCTACCACGTCCTTCTGCAAGCTTTAAATCATCTCTAGATGAGAACTAATACAATTTAAGTGCTAAGATAATAGTTGTTATACTGTATTGTTTAGAGAATAATGCCAAGAAAACTCACCTATACATGTTCAGTACAGGCACGATTTTTGGGAATATTTTCTATCTGTGATTGGTTGAATCTGCATATGCTAAACCCAAAAACATGGAGGGAAACTGGATAAACCAGCATTTTTTTATTTGCCCTCTTTACTTCTGCCCCAGCTTTTATTTAAATTTGGCCAGGAACAGCATAACCTTGTGATGATAAATAGCAAATGTTCAGGTTCTTTAGGACATTGCATAGCATTTCTTATTCAGCATCCCCTCTGTACTTATGATCTTCTGTGCTCAAGGGAGCCCACTTGTATGGCCAAGTTTAGGGAGTCTGGCATAATCTTTCTACTAAACAGTTCCTGGCAGGATGTTCATATCCTTGTGTGGTTCTTAGAGCAAAAAGATACTAATATTGATTATATACTTTTAAACATTCTTAACATCTATTATTTCATTGTATTGTCTTTGAAGAAATGAGCATTATTCATGTTTTACAGATTGAGGGTTTAAATGACTTTCCCAAGTACATATTGGTAGTTGACAGAGGTAAAGGTTGAACTAGTGTCTTGATTTGGTCCTGAACTCATTTTACTGTCCAACTCTTTTCCCTTAAGACTATGGGAAATAATTCCTACCTTAAGTACCACAGCATCTTTGATCTCACTTTGATTCTCTCCTCAGCTTAATTCATTTGGCACTCAGACAAAAATCTGTCTTTCTTAAAAAAAAAAAAAAAATCCACAAATTTTTGCCAGGTGTGGTGACACATGTTTATAATCCCAGTTACTTATTACATGGAAATGGAGGGAGACCCTCATTGTTATACAAAATTACAAATAAGAGGATGTGAGGGGAAAGGGGAAAAAAAAGAGAAATGAATTACAGTAGATGGGGTAGAGAGAAGATGGGAGGGGAGGGGGGATAGGAAGGGGATAGGAAAGGCAGCAGAATACAACAGACACTAGTATGGAAGTATTATAAACATGGATGTATAACCAATGTGATCCTACAATCTGTACACGTGGTAAAAATAAGAATTCATACTTGAATCAAATGTATGAAATATGATATGTCAAGATCATTGTAATGTTTTGAGCAACCAATAAAAAAATCCTTTTTTTCTTTTTTTCATAAAGCTCTTTACTTAAACCTATTTCCTTAAATGAAATTCCTGTGTATGCTTTTTGGGATCTTTAAATAATCTATTGCTTAGCCAATCCTTAAAAAACAAATGCCAAATGACTTCTTTGATATAAGGGGAGTAACTAAGGACAGAGTTGGGACGAAGAGCAGGAGAAGAAGATTAACATTAAATAGGGATGAGAGGTGGGAGGGAAAGGGAGAGAGAAGGGAAATTGTAGGGAAAGGGAAGGTGATCCTCAGGGTTATACAAAATTACATACAAGAGGAAGTGAGGGGTAAGGGAAGAATAATACAAGTGGAATAAATGTTTTACAGTAGAGGTGGTTGAGAGAGAAGAGGGGAGGGGAGGGGAGGGAAGGGGGGATAGTAGAGGATAGGATAGAGAGCAGAATTCATCAGACACTAGAATGGCAATGTGTAAATCAATGGAAATGTAACTGATGTAACTGATGTGATTCAGCAATCTGTATACGAGGTAAAAATGGAAGTTCACAGGGCTGGGGATGTGGCTCAAGCGGTAGCGCGCTCGCTTGGCATGCGTGCAGGCCGGGTTAGATCCTCAGCACCACATTACCAACAAAGATGTTGTGTCCGCCAATAACTAAAAAATAAATATTAAAAACTCTCTCCCTCTCACTCTCTTTAAAAAAAATTGGAAGTTCATAACCCTTTTGAATCAAATTGTGAAATATGATATATCAAGAAAGATGTAATGTTTTGAACGACCAACAATAAAAAAAATTTAAAAAAAATAATCTATTGCTAAGCTATCTATCCAGCATTATCTTTCATTTTTCCCTTCACATGTGTCCTTTGTTGAAATCAGGCATATCTCTTTTCTAAGTGTTTTTTAAGCTCAAACCCATTCCTGCTTCCTGACTTCACTGTGTACTTTCTCTTATTCAGCCTGTCCTTTGGAGGTCTATCCAAGGCCTTTCTTGTAACTATGATTAGCTTTAAGTGTTTCTATTTTGACTGCACATTTCTCTTATAGTCTGTACTGTATATTTTTTCTATATCATTATTACTTTTAATGTGGTATTATTTCAGTGCTAATTGTTTTCACATGGATAAATTTGCCAGAATTTAGGTCTCTTGACAAGAGAAATCAAATCCCTTACATGCCTAGAACAATCCTTGAACACACATGCCAGGTACTCTTTATTTATTTATTTACTTATTTATTTATCTAAATCAGTTATACATGACAGCAGAATACTCTTTATACACAAATGGAGTACAATTTTTGACTTATCTGATTGTACCCCAAATAGGATCTCACCATTTGTGCGATCATACATGTATCTTGGTCTCACTCCACCATCTTTCCTACTCCCATGCTCCTCCCCCACCAGATACTCTTTAAATACTAGTTATTCCAATAAATATACCCATGTAGCAGTTCACTGTGATGGTAATGATGATCCAAATGGATACAGGTTTTTCTGAGATTGCATCCATCTCTTTACTTTGATCAAAAATGTACTTGATAATGACTTTTACATTTCCTTCTTCCCTGCCTTTGTCTTGGTGATAGGCTGTCGATGATGTGAAGAAAGGTTACATCAAAGCAGAGGAAAAGTCTTACCAATTACAGAAACTATATGAACAAAGGAAAATGGTCATGGTAAGTTAATGTCCCCATAATACTTTTATAAAATGCCCCCTTTTACCTCTTAAACCTGTTGTTCCAGTCATTTTTTAAAGGTCCTGCAGCCTGATAAGTGACTTAACTAATTTAAAAAAAAAAAAAAGAAGAAGAAGAAGAAGAAGGGATATGTAGATGTTGATGCAGGCAGTTGTAATTCCTCCATTTAGCACCCAGAAAGCTTGGATTACTATACGTCTATAGATAGGCACATAATTTTTATTATTAATAATAACATTTTTTATAAAAGAAGTGCTAAAACAGATATACAAAACATTATGATATACTGAAGATAAAATTGTGTAATAACGACATTTATTTTATTTATTTTTTTAAGAATTTTTTTAAGGGCTGGGGATGTGGCTCAAGTGGTAGCGTGCTTGCCTGGCATGCGTGCAGCCCGGGTTCGATCCTCAGCACCACATACAAACAAAGGTGTTGTGTCCGCCGATAACGAAAAAATAAATATTAAAGATTCTCTCTCTCTCTCTCTCTCTCTCTCAAAAAACAAAAAAGAACTTTTTAATATTTATTTATTTTATTTTTTTTTTAGTTTTCGGCAAACACAACATCTTTGTTGGTATGTGGTGCTAAGGATCGAACCCAGGCCGCACAAGCCAGGCGAGCGCGCTACCGCTTGAGCCACATCTCTAGCCTCTAATAATGACATTTAGACTTTCTTTTTTTGTTTTGTTTTGTAACACAGGATTGAACCCATGGGTGCTTAACCACTGTGCCACATCCCCAGCCCTTTTTTATATTGTACTTAGGGCATCATTAAGTCGCTGAGGCTGGCTTTGAACTCGAAATCCTTCTGCCTCAGCCTCCCAAACTGCTGGGATTACAGGTGTGTGCCACTGAGCACAGATAGATTTTTAACATTACAAGTTTTTTTAATTGTGATTTAGCAGTAGCAAAATAATTTGTTTTTACAACTTGCATTTCTGCAGTTGATTGGACATTTATGCTTAGTTGTGCTTTGGTTTGTCTGATATCCTAGAATTGTGGTGTTTGATTTGGCAGCTACTATTTCTCATGTGACTATTTAAATCTAGATTTAAATTCATTTGAATAAAGTTTAAAATTCAGTTCTTTGGTTGCAGTAGCCACATTTCAAGGGCTAAGTAGCTATATGTGGCTAGTAGCTGTCATATTGGAAACACAAATATAGAACATTTTCATTACCACAGAAAATTCTGTTGGACAGTGTTGCTTAAGATGTTCCTTGAATATTTTAACGTTAGTTTTCAATTTGCGTCTGCTACAAATACTGGAATGGGAATTGTCAAAAATTAGTAAAGAAAACATACAAAAATTTTCACTCATATCTTAGAATTTCTCTTTTGGCAGATTCACATGTAGTTGAAATTTTTCCGTTTATTTTTCATGATTTCACACAGGGTAGTACTTGCATTTGTAATGATTCTGATAGCTCACTTGAATTATTTTGTACCTTCTGTATGCTTTTTATGAGGGAATATTCATCTATTTAAATTAATTGAGTTGGATAAGACTACAAAAAAGTCAACCATTGACCTTAGTCTATAATCTCATATCTAGGTAGGATAGTTATTTTATCATGTATCTGATGGAAAGTAATAAATCTCTTTTTGGCCCAGAAAATTACCAAAGATTGGGGAGCTGTCTTACCAATATAAGATATGTACCTCTTGTACATATCAAGAGGCTGAAATAGAAAATGCAAAAATCTTTTAAATATAATTAAATCTTGGCAGAATTTTGGGGAAGGAAATTTTTCAGTGTTTGAGACAGGATTTTAAAATGCAACTTCATGTTTTTTGTTTTTTTTTTTAAGATAATGACATTTTCTTCTATATATTAATAGATCATTCTAACCAATACATTTACATGTTTTTGGTGATGAGGGCTAAATACTAAAAGGCCTAAACCTCGGCAGTAGTTCTTTGATTCTGCCAAAGCCAACGAAGTCTTCCTGTTCCTAAAAGATAATAGAAATCAAAGTAGTTTCACAATACATATTGTTTCTTTGTATAAACAGGACTCCAAATACTATCCTTCTATTTATATGTTCAACAAAAAAATACTTCTTGAGCACCAAGTATGTACCAGTCACAGTACAAGGTACTAGAGAAGTAAATAGGTTTGGATTGTTCTTTAGCAAAATATAGGAAATCTGAATTTAATTAAAGCACAGAAATCTATTATCAAGTCATTTTTAGACTCAGTTTTGTAATTTCGTAGTCACCCAGTTAAGAACTAGAGTTTAGTTGATACACAGATGTTTTCCCATGAGTCATTTTAGGCAAGGACTATAAAATATGCTTAAACATTTATGGAATTCTGTTGTGTTGGAAACTTAGCCAACATGTAAGTATATTGGGAAGGGAATCTCACCAAAGTTTGAATTTTTATGTATTCAAGTATCTGTGTTCAAAGACAGCCTAGCTAATATCATCTCAGACATGCCCTTCAGGTCCTGGTACACTAACTACAATAACTTAGCGTGGTTTGATAGGACTGCACTTAGGCCAAATCACTACATTTAGTTGCTAAATTACCATGAGATCTGCAGCAACTCAATAAGATTCTCAGTTTTAGTTCCTTTCCCACAAAATGCCAATATTCAGTTTGTCAGCTATCAAATAGAATCTTGACAAAATACTTCAGGATTCTTAGTCAGTTAATAAGATTTGTATACCTTCCTCATGTCCTTCAATATAAAGGACAGCTCATATCCTTGCCATGGTTTATAATATCCAGTGTCATCAAAAACATTTTTTTAAATCGTCTTATTACCAAGATAGAATGAATCTCAAATTTGGCTGGTTGAGAATATAATGTACAAGTCTGTTTTCCTTCCCTGCCTCCTTCCTTACTCTTGCTTATGCTCTCTTCTTTCTTTTTCGGCTCATACAAATGATAGACATGTATAAGTTATGCTTTGCTTATGTTGAGGTGGCCTGTTTACCATTGTTAAACAGAGTTTTTATATTATTAATGTTTCTCAGCACAATTTGTAATGATTTCACACAAGGCAGTCTATATGAAAGTCAATGTTTCTCAAAGTGTGGTCCCCAGCCCACTTCCACGGAAATCGCTTTGGAAGCCCCTTAAAATGCAGATTTTAACCCTACCTCATGTCTACTAAGCCAGAGCTTCTGGGGGTAGGACCTAGGGATCTTTTTTTCATAAAGCACACTGGTAATTCTGAAACCTTAGATACTCCAGTATCACTCTATAGGGCTTAGGAAGAGTTGGTACTCAAGAGTCCTCTCAAGCCTTTGTTTCAATTTTAGACCAGTTTTGACCCTTGGTAGGTTGAGGAGCACAGAGAGTTCTTCAGAGTGGACCTTGACTCATTCTCCCAAAGTGTTCTGTTAAATACTGAATCTCTGTATTAATAACTGTCCTATTTATGTATTTACCTGTCTTGCTGAATATTGAACATTTATAAAATGTCCCTTACTATATAGTAAATGTCCCTTTCCTCTTCTCTGGCGTAAATGGGACGCTATGTAAGTGGTATATGAATCAAGGAAGGTAATTCAGGGTCATATTTAGCTACTCAAAACTTAATATGAAAGAAGAATTGGCAGGATAATTTTGTGTTTTAAATGTGTTATAAATATGTCTGAGGGCTGGGGATGTGGCTCAGCAGTAGAGTGCTTACCTAATACGTGTGAGGCCCTGGGTTCGATACTCAGCAAAACATAAAATAAATAAATAAAGGTATTGTGTCCAACCATAACTAAAAAATAAAAAATATGCAAGCAAAAATCTGTGTGTGTGCATGTGTGTATGTGAGAGATAAACAGACAGACAGATATACTGGGGATTAAACCCAGGGGTATTCTACCACCCCAGCACTTTTTATTTTTTTATTTAAATAGGATTGATCTGAGTTGCCCAGGCTAACCTTGAACTAATGATCTTCCTGCCTTAGCCGTCCCAGTAGCCAGGATTACAGGCATGTACCACCATACCTGGCAAAAATTCACCTTTCCTAATTTTGGATTTATGTTTAATTTTAAGTGTTTCTTCTTTTTAAGCTTGGTGCAAACCCAGGAATGTTGGGATTACCCACCTGAAATTGAGACATTACCCAACCAGAGAATCTCTGGAAACCTTAAGTCTGTTTCCCAGTGAGACCTTACCTATGACTTCTTACAAGGACACAGATGCCTTAGTTTTTTATTTTAGAACTTATATGACTTCTAGTAAGAAGCCCCCCAAAGGTCTTTTGCTTTCAAGAACCTTTGGGGTTTTTTTGGAATCAGCTTATTTCACTTAGCATGATAGTCTCTAATTCCATCCATTTATCAGCAAATGCCATAATTTCATTTTTCTTTATGGCTGAGTAACCATTGTGTTATATATACACCACATTTCTTTATCCATTTATCTGTACAAGGGCACCTAGCCTGGTTCCATAGTTTAGCTATTGTGAATTGAGCTGCCATAAATATTGATGTGGCAGAGTCACTATATCATGCTGATTTTAAGTCATTTTGGGTATATGCCGAGGAGTGGGATAACTGGGTCAAATGGTGGTTCCGTTTAAAGTTTTCTGAGGAATCTCCATACTGCTTTCCAGAGTGGTTGTACCAATTTGCAGTCCCACTAGCAATATACGAATGTACCTTTCCCCCCACATCCTCACCAACACTTATTGTTACTTGGATTCTTGATAATTGTTGTTCTGACTGTAGTGAGATGAAATCTCAGTGTAGTTTTGCTTTGTATTTCTCTAATTGCTAGAGATGTTGAACATTTTTTCATATATTTGTTAACTGTATTTTTTCTCTAAAGTGCCTATTCAGTTTCTTTGCCCATTTATTGATTGGGTTATTTGGGTTTTTCTTTTAAATATTTATTTTTCAGTTGTCATTGGACACAATACATTTATCTTATTTATTTATTTGTATGTGGTGCTGAGGATCGAACCCAGGGCCTCGAATGTGCTCATCGAGCACTCTACTGCTGAGCCACAACCCCAGCACCTTATTTGAGGTTTTTTTTTTGGTGTTAAGTATTAATAACTGTCCTATTTATGTATTTATCTGTCTTGCTGAATATTGAACATTTATAAAATGTCCCTTACTATACTAAATACATTTTAGTATATTTTGAGTTCTTTATATGTCCTGAAGATTAATGCTGTATCTGAGGTACAGATGTCAAAGATTTTCTCCTCTTCTGTAGGCTTTTCTCACTCTTGATTGTTTCCTTTAATGTGAAATAGCTTTTTAGTTTGATACCATCCCATTTGTTAATTCTTTTTTTAAAGTTTTTTTTTAGTTGTCAAGGGACCTTTATTTTATTAATTTGTTTTTTGTGTTGCTGTGGATCAAACCCAGTTCCTCACACATTCTGGGCAAGCTCTCTACACTGAGCCACAATCCCAGTCCCTGTTTATTGATTTTTTTTTTTTTAAAGAGAGAGATGAGAGAGAGAGAGAGAAAGAGAATTTTTTAATATTTATTTTTTAGTTTTCAGCGGACACAACATCTTTGTTTTTATGTGGTGCTGAGGATCGAACCCGGGCCGCACGCATGCCAGGCGAGCGCGCTACCGCTTGAGCCACATCCCCAGCCCGGTTGATTCTTTATTTTACTTCTAGCACTTTATGAGTCTTGATAACAAAGTTGGTTCCTAAACTGACATGATGTAGATTTGGGCCTACTTTTTCTTCTATTAGGTGCAGGGTCTCTGGTCTCATGTCTAGATCCTGATCCACTTTGAGTTGAGTTTTATGCAGTGTGAGAGAGAGGGGTTTAGTTTCATTCTACCACATATGGATTTCTATTTTTCCTAGCACCATTTGTTGGAGAGGATATTTTTTCTTCATTGTATGTTTTTGGTGCCTTTGTCTAGTATGAGATAACTCTGTGTGTACTGTGAAGATCCCATTGATCTTCATGGCTATTTTTGTGCCAATACCATACTGTTTTTGTTACTATAGCTCTATAGTAAAATTTAAAATTTTGTATTGTGATACCTCCTGCTTCACTTTTTCTCACTAAGGATTTCTTTGGCTATTCTGGGTCTCTCATTTTTCCAAATGAATTTCATGTTGAGCAGGGCCAATCTTAAGGCTCCATGATATCCACTGGCATTTGCAGAAGTCTTACTATCATTGAGCAGAAATGCTGCTTACTAAGCATGTCAGGGTTTATGATAACTCTGAGGGGGTCATGGCTTGGACTGTATGCTGAAGGTCTGGTTGCAGGGAACTTCTTTTTCCATTAACATTTTATTTTAAAAAGTTTTCAAATACACTAGTACAGTAAGCTGTTACTACTTTCACCTCCCTGGTAGCCAGGATTACAGGTATGCACCCCATACCTGGCAGGAGCTCACCTTTCCTGATTTTGAACTTAGGTTTAATAAATAACCCAGTCAGCCCTTATGCACCCATCTCCAGCTTCAGTAGCCTTCAGCTCTCCACTCTTGTTTCATCTATTTCAGTCACAGGCTTATTTTCCCCTGGAGTTTTCTCCTTTGTCTTCTCTGCTGGCATTGAACCCAGAGCCTCATACCTGGTAGGCAAGTGCTCTGCCACAGAGCTGCATGTCCACCCCTTTTCCTGGAGTTTTTAAAAGTAATTTCCAGGACAAGGGATGTGGCTCGGTGATAAGAATGCTTGCCCAGCATGCATGAGGCCCTGGATTAAGTCCCTAGAATCCATAAATATAATTTCCAAGTATTTAATTTTTAAAATATTTTTTATTTTGTTTATTTTTATGTGGTGCTGAGGATGGAACCCAGTGCCTCACACATGGTAGACAAGCGCTCCACCACTGAGCCACATCCCCAGCCCCCCAAGTATTTAATTTTCTAGGGTGTTCTTGAGAGAGAAAATGGTTGACTAATGATAATAGAGCTTTAAAATTTTTTAAGTTATCATTTATTAAATACATAATTATGTACCAAGTACTATACTAAATACTTTATATTGAATGCAGTAACATTATAAGTGCTATTACTGTTTCCCACCTTCTAGAAGAGAAAACTGAGCCTCCGGGGATGAATTTGCCTGAGTTCAAGTAACCTGCCTAGAGTTGCACTGTTAGGAAGTCATGGGGTCAGATTAGATCCCACTCCTCAGGGAAAGAGAGGGTCACACTGAGTGGTGCGGTGGTGCTTTCTAGCTCTGAGGTCTTGGTGACAGTGTCTCTTCTGTCTCCTACTTACATGTCTTTAGATAGAGAAAAGAGGATTGGTAGTGTGGAGGCAGAAGCTGGGAGTGGGTAAAGGCTGCCCTGGAATTCTTTCCAGTCGAGGAAGGGATTGAGACCCAGGGCAGGTCTTTGGGTTCCCCTTGCTTTTCTCAGCAACTCTCCCCTGTGCTTCCTTGTCATGGTAACACTGTTTCCCTTCCTTTCTGCCTAGTACCTCAACATGCTAAGGACTTGTGAGGGCTACAATGAGATCATTTTCCCCCACTGTGCCTGTGACTCCAGGAGGAAGGGGCATGTTATCACAGCCATCAGCATCACGCACTTTAAGCTGCATGCCTGCACTGAAGAAGGACAGCCAGAAGTGAGTCTCCCATGGACCGGGCTGCAGCACTGCAGACGGGCTCGCTCGCTTGCTGTGCTAGTGCTTCTTTGTGAGGAAAATGAGATCCAAACTGTGTTTTGATTGGGGTGATTTGATGGGATCCACACTGACCCTTCACTTCACTGGCTGTCCCCCACCTTTATTCTTTTGTCAGTGTTTGAACCCTGAAATGTTGCAGCCATCTCCACTCATTTCTCTTCTGCTTCCCGGCCGAGAATTCCCTTCCCTCACTCCCCGCACTCTCAAACTCAAACTGTAGGCCTTACTCTCTCGTTCTTGGTTGTCCAGAACCAGGTCATAGCGTTTGAATGGGAGGAGATGCAGCGATGGGACACAGATGAAGAAGGCATGGCATTCTGTTTTGAATATGCGCGAGCAGAGAAGAAGCCCCGATGGGTTAAAATCTTCACACCATATGTGAGTGGGAGATGGGGAGCATACTTAGGGAAAGGAGATTGGGCTTTAGGTTTCCTTCAGGCTGCGTACATAAATGGAGAGATTGAGACACACAGACACAGAGTTTTCTTGAGATGGAAACCTTTCTGAATCCTAGAACCCCTGGTTCAGCCTATTTTTTCCTTTAGGCCCACCAGGATCAAGTTTCCCATCCCACTTGGCTCACAGAGTTACCACTAGGGGGAGCTAGAGAACGGAAGGTGGCCAGGCCTGGAGTCAGCCAGGGTTTTCTCTGTACTGAGTGGGTTTGGAAGAATGGGTGACCTGGCTCAGAGAAGTAGTGAGTGTTACTGTTTTTTTTTCCCCCAGTTCAATTACATGCATGAATGCTTTGAGAGAGTGTTCTGCGAGCTCAAGTGGAGAAAAGAGGTATGAAAAATCCTTGATTTCTTCATTTTTTTGTGTGTATTTAAAATTTGTAGGCCCATGGCCAAATACCTGGGACCCTCACCTCCATTTCTGTCTTTCTAGGAATATTAGTTAGAGCCTGGTTATCTCATGTGTGCCAGGACATTCTTCCAGCAAGGCTGGCTTCTGGATGGTGAATGGGCTGTGAAAAAGGCCCTGCTTCTTCCCTTGTCTAGAGGGTGGACGGTGGCTACAGGCTCTTCCATCTCTCATGACTTCATGGACTCTCTTCTTCCTGTTTCGTTTTAATTTTGAATCAAATCACCCTCCATGTTCTCCCTGACCCAGAAGGGCAGCTGTTCTCAGATTTAGCTGTCTGACTCGATGAGTCATGATAGTCTCTAAATTAACAAAGAATGTGTATGCAGGGGGAAGTTTTTGCTACTGTCATCTGTAGGTGTCAGTGCTAGAGCAGAATTTAGAATATTCTGAATAATTAGGTAGGAGCTGGAGATGCAGCTCAATGGTAGAGCACTTGCCTTACATATGCAAAGCTCTGGGTTTTGAGCCTCAGCACCATCACCAAAAAAACCAAAAAAAAACCCTGAAATATGAAAACAAACTTAAAAATCAGCTGCTGCAAGGCTGAGATTATGGCTCAGCGGTAGACATCGCCTAGCACGTGAGGGGCACTGGGTTTAATCCTCAGCACCACATAAAACTAAATGAATGGAATAAAGGTATTGTGTCCAACTACAACTAAAAAAATAAATATTTTTTAAAAATTAGCTGCTGTACTCAAAATCAGGATCAGGAGGTTAAATCAGAATATGAAAGTTTATATTCATATAGCAAAAAGAACATTAGATTCTGGGACTCATATCTAGGTTTTCTCCTAGCTTTCTTTTTCTATAATTTTGAGTAACCTCCTTAGATCTGAGTTTCCTCTTCTATAAAATAGGACCTTTTAGTTCTAAAAGTCTGTGATTCTAGATCCGAGATGTATTAGGGGAAGAGGCCAAAAAGATTAAATCATCCAGCCGTACACCGTTTTAGTTTCTGTTGGGGATTGTCTCGAGATTGGAGGAGATGTAGCTTCCCAGTAACTCTTTTCTTTTTTTCCTTGCAGAACATTTTCCAGATGGCAAGGTCACAGCAGAGGGATGTGGCCACCTAGCCTTCCCTTTTCCCCTTCCCTTCGTCCTCTTCCTCTTATCCTTCTTGTCTCCCATGTCAGACAGAGTAACCATTAACACAAAAGAAGAGAAAAGGAAAAAAGTCATTATATTCAAAAGCCCTGATCTAAATATTCTTAATAACTCCCTCTGAATTTTATGTATCTGGAATTGAGCTGGTAGAGAACAATAGATAGTCAGTACCAGAAGTCCACTGAGTTAAGACAGGAAAAGAAGTAAGCCCAGCCAACTCGCCAAAGGTGTCTGTCCTTTCTCCTGGGCCTCACATCGACAGACTCTCCTTGTACTATATTTTTAAAACTGGAACTATGAACTTCATCCATTTGCACTGTTCAGACATATATATGTATGTATGTAAAAAATTATATATACACAAATTAACTGCACGTATATACATATATATATTTCTTTTTAAATTTCATATTGATGGCAGTACCTTTTTTAGCTTGTGTTTTTACACACCTTTCACTAGAATTCATGACCTCTCTCTTGCTCTCTTTATTTTGAAACAAACTTTTAAAAGAAAAAAAAAATTACAGGGAAAATACCTCTCCTCATGAAGGACTCGAAAAGTTTACAACCTGCTTGGGTTTTTTCCCCCCTTTTTTGTATCGAGTGCAGTTTCTGGCTCATGGGTTGCCATAGAGTCTGAGGAGCAAGGAGCATAGAGTGTCTGTCTTCCAAGAAGGTGCTGGGGAGGAGAAGGAGGTGTGTTTCTGGGACAGCAAGGCTGCAGCTATGCAGGAGAGTCTGTAGACTTGGTGTGATGTGATTCCAGGGCAGTGTTCCTGGCCCACACTCCCATTCATGGCTTTCTAGCCCACTGTGCATCTCCTTCCTGCTTCTCTAGGGCACCTCATGTGCTTTCCCTTAACTGGCCCAGAGCCAAGTTGAGCATGGGCTCAGGACACCGATGCCACAGGAACCCGAAGCACCTCCTGGTAGTCATTTTCCAGCTCCCTGCCTATTCCGCAGGGAGAGTATCCATGACCAGAGGTCACACAGACACCTTAGGCATGAAGGTGGGACTTACAGAGGGAAAGGGAGGAAGGGGTACTGTGTGACAGGTCTTACCTGCTCCATTCCTGCCGAGAACCCCCAGAACTGTTAACTCCCTGTGACTTCCTTCCGCAGAGCATTGGGGAGGGATCTGACAGTGTCTTCAGGGCCTTAAGGGAAAGTCGGAAGGGGACTGTGGTCTAATCAAACCGTGGCCTGCCTAAACCAGCTAAGAACCCAGGAAGGCGTGGGATTATGGTAGATTTGGGTTGGATCTCCATCTTTTACTTCCTCCTTGGAAAGAAAACCTTTTTGTCCCTCCAAGTTCCTCATCTGATTTTGCAGCTAAAGCCAGGTCTAATAAGTAGAGTCACATTCCCGGCTCTGTACTGTATCCTGAGCTCTATACGATTGAGTAAGAAGCACGAAGTCGGGCTCAGATGCAACTGAAACACATCTTTGAATCTTTTTTCCCCTCTTCACCTTTGAAATAAAAACCTCCACAGGATGGCATGGTCTGCTTTGTGTGCCAGGAAATCAATCAGAATTGGTTGTAGTCGGCTCCACTGAGCAGTGTGGGGTGATTTGAAATTTCTCTTTTTTATAATTGTCACCCTGTTATCCTGGCAGCCACTTGCCCTGGGGACCTTTCTCCAAACCCAAGTGGAATCAGCATATAAAACATAAGAATGTTAATCTTTAAAGTTGCCGAGGGTACTCATGGTTTGAAGGCTTTAGTACAGGATTGACTCCTTTTGGCTTAAATGAATTTAATAATGAGCCAAAGGACCCTAAAAAGAAGATATGTTTATTTCCACTTCAAGATGCTACAGATGCAGAGGCTTTTGGCACCAGCTTTGTTTAAACTGTAAAAATAGCAGCAGTGCACCCCTCCTTCCGCTAGAGGGAGAGGGATGAACACACCCGTGAGTCTGTGCGCAGGCTGAATGCTGACCTCCCACACACAGGCCACCCAGAGATTTAGAGGCCCCTGAGAGTGGGCAGATGGTGCGTGCTCCCTTTCTGACCAGCATTCACTTGGTTCTTTGGAGTCTGGGTGAAGGGCCTCATAGGTAGTTAGCCTGCTGGCAGAATCTGTTGGGGGACAGCCTGTACTTAGGGGTCTCGCAAGACAAAGCACCCAGCTGCAGCAAGCAGGTGGGAAGGAAGGAGACCCTAAAGGGTGGCATCTTGTCCTTCACGTACTCCAGGCCTCCAGTAATGGAGGCAGAGGTCGCTGTGGCTGTGGAGGTCCACAGGATTGAGCCGAGCCCTTCTTTGCATGAAGCAGTGTCAGGTGTGACTCTACTTTCCCCTCCTCCCCTGCACTTCCTTTCTCTAATTCCTGCTCTTTCTCTTGGTCCTGGCTTCTGCCCAGGGAGGTGTCTACCCAGTCTTCTTTTGCAGTTTGTCTCTGGCAAATGGGGCTCCCCGTCCCCAGCTTCACCCCAGCAGAACCACAGGGTCTTCGTGGCCTTTCGCTGTTGTTCCCTCCATACTGGCCTTCTGTCCTCTGGGGCAAAAGCTCAGAGCTTTTTATGGAGCAGCAGAAAATGTAGGCCCTGAGAAACCTGTCCCTGTGGAAAGGTTCCCTTGGGCCACGCTTTGAGCGCTCTACCCCGTGTATTTTCATTCTATTCTCCATTTCTCTGCCCTCCCCTTGCCCTAGGCCTAAGCTCAGCACGAGTACAGATAAGTGTGTGCTCGGGCAGCTCCTAGGCCTGGACAGAGCCCTCAGGGAGGAATTAGATAAATATTCCAGCATCCTCATGCCTGGCCCAGTTAGTTCTCTAGTTACCTGGGCCAGTAGCTTTGGGTTATCCCCTTTTGAAGCTCCAAACCCTATGCTTGGAACAGCAAAATAGGGCACTGACAGGAGGTGGCACCTTTCTCTCTCATCTCAGAATTTGCCAATTTATAAGCCGAGCTACTGGAGGCAGTTTTCTTAAAGGGAACCGTATGCTAGTTGACCTGAAGTCTCCCTGTCCGTATCGCGCTGTCCGGCTGGACTAGCTCAGCAGTAGACCTCAGCACACTGCTGCTCCTGCTCCAGCCCGGCTGGACCACACTGGCTTCCTCTGATGGGGGCTGAGTGGCTGAGCACTCGGAGAGGGAGTGGCAGAACACAGGCAGGGGGGTGCTTCTGTAGCCCTCCCCTCCTGCTGCATCCTGCCAGGCCTCATTCACTGCAGGATGGCAGCAGCTCACTCCTCAGCAATAATCTAGGGTGTGGGGGAAGCTTAGGGCTTGGGGAGGGACAGACCTAAACAGGGGAGTGACGTGGGCTGGGGGTACTTGGCCAACTGCTAAACTTGGACACCAGTTTTATTTCATGCCCCTATTCAGCTGGTGAGCTGGGCTTCAGTTTTTCCCAGGCCATGCATACTTTTAATTTATTTGAGAGAAACTCTAATTGTATTTTCACTGCAGTATCTTGTATTTTTTATTTGTGATTTAAGAAATGTGAAGAGAAAATACACAGACACATAATGGCTAACAGTGTTTCTTTCATTCCTTGTTCTAGAGCTAACCACTCTAAAATTGTTTGGTAATGTCACTTAGTGTAATTAATTGTAACATATTCTTTTAAATAAATTGATTTATTGATGAAACAATTCTTTGGTTTCCTAGACTACAAATCCTTTGGGTTGTGTGGGAAGAAGGGAAGAGGGACCTTTGAGATTTGAGTTTAGAGTGGTCAATCTGAAAGTGAGAAGGAACATTTAACCAGTTTTTATCTAACCGGATAACTAGTGGGGGGGCAGTCTTTGGAAGGCAGGGCATGAAGGAGAGTGTAGTAGAGAGAAGCCAGGGAGGTCCTGGTTTGCAGTTCTGTGCCCAGTAGCTCCTTTGAAAATTCCTTTTCTCTCTCAGTTCTCAGAGGTGACTGAGCTTGGCCCTCCTGTCTGCTGGTCATTCGTGGCATTCCTTCCCAGCTGAGAACAGTTAAGGCCCCAGAACCCTTGGGACAGCGTTTGGCACTGGCCTGCCCAGGCCAGCCCAGCCCAGCCCAGCCCAGCAACACGCATAGATTTTCTTATTTTTCAAGGAACTCGGGAAGCTTTCTCTTACGGGGATCTGAACTGAAAAGTACACATTACCCCTAATGAATGCCTAGGAAATACTAGGCACTCGGGGTGCTTGTATCCCTTCTTCTGCCCACATCTCTGAGGATGTGACTCCACTCACCTGCTCAAGATCACCTGCTCTTTTATGGACTGAACCAGCTCTGAAAAGCATTTGTAGTGGATCAGACATTTTTGTTGTTTTTATTAATCTTGCTTATTGTTTTTATAATCCCTGACTATGTACTTTTGGTACTTAATTGATATAAGAGCAAGGAGCAGTTTGATGTTTGGTTTGTTGTTGTTGTTTTGTGGGGGTGGGGGGTCCTGGGAATTGAACCTAGTGCTTTACTACTGAGCCTTTTTTTTTTTTTTTTTTTTGAGTCAGGATCAGAATTGTTTGGGGCCTCACTAAGTTGCTGAGGCTGGCCTTCAACTTGTGATATTCCTGCTTCAGCCTCCCAAATCACTGGAATTACAGGCCTGTGCCACTGTACCTGGCTTCCAGTTTGACATTTTGTCATTCAGGGTCTTATGCACCAGCCACTGGCGTTGCATATTTGGAATCTGATAAATATTACTATGTAAATGGGAAAAAGTTTTTTTTTTTAAACAAGAATACATGGAGAAGTAGAAAGTAGGATTACAAAATAAGAATTAAAGTCAACAAACATTAAATATCTACCATGTATTGGGCATTGTATTAAGAAACTACAACAGATAAAAAAAAAAGCAAAGAAAAACATCCTGCTCGCTTACAGCCTCACAGAGAATGAAACACAAATGGCCATAATGCACAGTGGCAGGTTTCAGATTGCTATAAGGACTAGAGAAGGAGGGACCAGAACAGAGGGACCTGGGGAAGAGGGCCAAAAGGAGGTCTTCATGAAGGAGGGTGTTTACGGTGAGTCATTTAACATGAGCAGGATTTCATCAAGCTGGCATCCAACAACCATGTGTCTGACACTAGTGATGGAGATTGGAGAGAGAAGGGGCCGGGTGTGACGCACAAGTTTATAATCCCAGCAGCCAGGGAGGCTGAGGCAGGAGGATCACAAGTTTGAGGTCAGCTTCAGCAACCTAGCAAGGCCCTGACTCAAAAAAGGGCTGAGGATGTGGCTCAGTGGTTAAAGCAGCCCTGGATTCAATCTGGTACCAAAAGAAAAGAGAAGGGGGTAAAAAGAATCAGCCTTGTCCAGAGAAATGCAAGAGTCCTGCTGGAGCAGGGCTTAGTGTGTAGAATGAAGTGAAAGTAAGACCTTGAAGAGCTTTGGTGCCAGGGAGGTGTGAGGAAGAAGAGGGGTCGGGGAAGAGGAAAAGAAGAAAGAAGAAAAAAACTTATCAGTTTGAATTAATAAGTAGAAGCAGTGGATAATTGGAAGGAAATATGAGAAAAAATGGGAAAGTAAAATCTTGCATGATTTAATAACACTGAATTTATGTGAGAAGTAAAAAGACTCCCAAGGCTTTACGTCTGTATGACTGGAATATAAAAATATTTAAGAGTTGAGACTTTTGGGAGAAAGACAGTTTTAGCCTTGGACTATTTAGGCATGGGTGGGAAGCCAGCCCAGATGTCAGCAGTCGTTATTAATTAATTGTTCCCCAAGCACCTCGTAGTGTCTGGACGCTGTCCAGGGTAATGGCAGTACAGTGGTGAACAAGACAGGGCAGGTCCTCAAGAAATGTCCCTGAATTGGCTTTTCACATCAACTCCGGCTCCTTTGGAGAACTCAGACCTCAGGAGAGCAGGAGGAGACACTGCAGCCTCTGGGTGGATGTGCACGGGAGACGGAGAGGCCCGACGATGAGGGACTTGGAGGTGGACCCGCGGGGGCTTTGCAGCTGGATTGGCTATGTGAAGAGGGAGAAAGGGTACCCCAAATTCAGGCTCTCGTGGGTACATCGAGAGCTGTTTACTAATGAAGACTAAGAGAAAAGGTAATAACGAAACTCAGTTCAGGAGGCAATCCAGCTTGGGAGCACCTGGCTGCGCCTGCTTCCTATCAGGTGGTGAAGGCCGCAGGGCATGGAGAGAGCTGGTGGGGGGGCGAGTCCTTGGGAAAACAGGGCAGAGGGCAAGGGGTTTGTTAGAAACAGGAGTGTGGGTCAGGGCCGTGGAAGTTCTCCGGTTTGGAGGAGAAGGAGCCTGGCTGTAGAAGGCTTCCTTCAGTCACAAACCCTGGAAGCTAAAGCTGTGGAGGGCTTTGAAATTTTGGCAAGAGAATTCAAAGACGAAGGAAACCCTGAAAGAGAGGCCATGGCTCTCAAGCCAGCAGGGTCCAACCCCAAAGGAAAGGAGATGCCTTGGATTCCGTGGCTACAGTTCAAAGCTCTAAAAATGCAGAAAGGGGATGAGAACACATTGAAGAAACCGTCAGGGCTCCTCTCCCTGAGCCCCCCATGTTCTGATCACCTCGGTCTCCCTAACGGAGGCCTTTTTCTAAATGTCTGTTTTCATTCTACGCCTGAAAGTTGCCCCGACCCTGCTGGTGACAGCCAGTTCACCCTTCTGCCTCAAGAAGTTATCTGCCTTCTTTTTATGCTGCTGTTAACAGTGGACACAGCTTGATTATCACAGAAGAAGAGAGCAGTAAAGGCCATTGCTGCGCTTGGGTGAGGGGTGGCCACACCTCAGCTCCTGAGCTCAGAGGAGAGGGAGGAAGGAGGAGTGTGGTCGCCTACCGCGTCCCGGGAGGCAGGTGCTCTTGGTCCAGCACCTACCTCTCCATCTTTCTGTTCTGACTCTCAAAACCCCCGAAGCTGAGACGGCTCGAGGGAAAATTCATAATAGGAGATACCAGTTGGTCCTTTTCTGGGCTCCTTCCCGTCCCTGACCACACACACCTCCGTCTCTGTGGAACAGACTCTTTTATGAACTAGGCGAAGAAGCCCGCCTGGTCCTACTGAAGTGTCCCATTCTTGGCCTCTACCACCCAAGAGTCATTTTCCCCCTGAAACCACCTCCACAGAGCTGTCTCCTAGAACTTCCCCTTTTGCTTCTCTTTTTAAATAGTCTTAGTCTGGGGCCCTTGGAAGAGGAGGCAAAAGTGAGGTAGGGATGGGGATTTACTCCTGTCCAGGGTAATGGCCAGATCAAAGCGGGAAGGTGAGCAGTTTATGAGAAAGCAAGTGACCCATGTGCCATGAAGTCAGAGGCCACACCTGTGGGCTCCTCCTGAGCCAGCCCTAAAGAGGGGCCCAGAAAAGGTCTAGGAATTGGAGGGACCTTAGCGCTCAGAGAGTCTACCCTCTACCTGCTGGAGCTCACTGCAGCCATCTGCTCCCTACTTGTTGGGACTCTGCCTCAGAGGACAGGTGAGGACAGGTGAGAAGAGCATCGTGGGGCCTGGAGACAGCCCACAGCCTTCCCTTATTGGCCTTGTGACTCCTCAAAGCCTCCTTTTCCCTGTCTGCAAAGTTATGTCCCGCCTCGTGGGGTTGTTGGAGGTGGAATGAAGGAATGTTCACAAAAGGCCTAGAACAGGAGGACACACAGAACGTGGTCGACGAAATAGAGGTCCAGAATGGAACATGCGTGGGGACAGGGCTCCCGAGAGCCTGTGCCCAATTCTACAGAGCATTCCGGAATTAAGCCCCAAAGAGGGGTGAAGAATAGAGTCACAGAGCTGCGAACAGGCGTAGACTCGCTGAAGGAGAGCTGAGCCGCCCGCCCAGCTGCTCCCCTGCTTCCTTCTCTTAACCTCCCTCCTCCCCTCCGGTCCCTGCCCTCAACTTTCCAAGACTCTCATTTGGTGCTTTTAAACTTTTTTCTTTATTTAGACAGAAAAGACCAACTCTTTAAAAGTAAAATGCAATAAATAAATAAGTTAAGCATAGAGAACTGTCTGAAACTGACTCCCCAGTCTCCCTTCCCACTCCCACCCCCACCCCATTTTCTTTTCCCTAAAACCTTTTCCTAAAGAAAATGATCAGGTAATAAACCCCTTTAGCCCTCCCCACTCCCTTCCTCCCAAATACCCAGTTACCCCCCAAAAGCAAAGGGAGAAATCAAGAGAGAAAAAAATCCAAGGGCAAAATTGTCTAAACTCCCAGAAAGAGAGATGGCAGCGACCGGCCGGGCCGGGCGGGCTGGGTGACGCACGGGTGGTGGTGGTATTTACACGGAGGGGGCCAGCAGAGACTGTAAACATTTTTAGGGGTTCAGGGGGAGGTCTTTTCCTCGAGAAAGGAGGAGGGTCTCTGTGGCTGACTGGCGGAGAGGCAGCCCTCAGGGCTCCCCCACACCCTCCTTGGAGGGGGCCCTTGGGGGAGGCAGTGAGTTTTAGGGCTGGGAGCCCAGGATTCAGGGATACCCTACCTCTAGCTGGGTGGAGGGGAGTGTGAGGCCAGCTTCTGAGGAGCCCCTACTGCGGGGAAGAGGCTGGGGTGAGGGTGGGCTGGGGAGTGTGGGAGCCCCGCCGCCCACCCTGGGCTCCACGACTAGAGCAGGCCCACTGGTCGGGAGGCAGGTGTGAGCACTGGGCACAGAGGGCCCACCACAGGAGCCCGAGCAGAAGGCAGATACCCTGGAAACTTCCAGCCTATTCCTTGCTCCCTCGCAAAGGCCAAAAGGGCACCTGGGAGGAATAGGCCCGCGGAGCCAGGGAAGCCAAGCCACGGCCGTCAGAGAGGCAGGGTAGCAGGAGCAGGCTAGTGCCCTGTGCCCCCGGGGCCGTGAAGCAGCTTTGGCCCCAGAGCCCGATCGAGGCCCAGGGCAGATGTGCAGAGAGGGCCGGAGCCAGTTGTGGGAGGAGGGTGTGAGGCACCCCTTCCTCTGGCATCTCCAGACCTGTGAAGGAAGGAAACCCGGGTGAAGCTTGCGGAAGATGGGGGCAGTGCTGGCCACAGGCTCTGGGCAGAGGGAGGGGCTGGGGTGGGTGGTGGCATCAAGATGGGGCTGCCCGAGAAGGCAGGTCATCAAAAAGGCCTCATTCCAAACGGAACCATCCGGCCCCCCAGCCACGAGAGCAAAGGCCAGGAACGAGGGGATGGGGGGCGTTGGAGGAGACAGAAGCCAAAGGCCATTAGGGAGGAAGCAGTCGGACAGCCCAAGGGAAGAGTGAGGGCTGCAGAGCCAGAGGGGAGGCAGAGATGAGGAGCAACAGGCAGGCAGAGGGACCAGGAGGAGGGAGGAGTGAGAGACAGACAGACACCTGGAGAGGAGCCTCCGCAAGGCCAGGGCCACCCGGACTGGGCTTAGGGACGAGTCTCGGGGTGAGACCGCCCCGCCTCTAAGCAGAGCTCTCATTCCTTTTAGGAAAGGAACAGAAAAAGCAAGAGAAATGCACAGAACACAGACCACAGTCACCAACCACTGTTGACCAAGCACATCCCGCGAGCTGCCCCCGGCCCTGTCCCTGGGCTGGGGGGAAGCTTCCCTCCACGGCCCCTCCCCAAATAACAAACAATTGGCTCCAAAGACAACACGCTCGTTCCATGCAACTTACAGGGGCCCGGAGCAGGGGTCCGGGGATGGGGGCTTCAGCCGACAATGGACACGGGCCCTGGGCTGGGGGCCCCCGGGGTGGGGGGAGTTAAGCAGCCAGGATTGGGGGGAAAGGGGAGAAACAGAAAATGTGGGTATTGTTCTTGGGTTGGGTGCTTTTTTTTTTTTCCAGGGGTTTAGTCCAAAGGAGATTAACACAAAAATAACCAAGGCGCACAGATCTGTGGCCCTGAGGTTGGGACGCTGGCCCACAGTGGGGTGAGGGGCTGCTAAGCGAAATTCACCAGGCAATGCAACACTCCAACCTCCGCCACCTAAACCAAAGTGACTCCCACCAGGCTGCAGCTGGGCTGCCCCGGTCGGCCCTGGGCCCTTTCCTGGCCCAGGGGCCCAGGTGCGCTGCTCTGAGTGGAAGTCACCTGGACATCAGGGCAAGGAGGACCTGGTGTTTCCACCACTGGGAGGACAGAGATTCCAGAAGCCAGGGACTGGGACCCTCAAGTACCCTAAACCAAACCTTGCTCCCCCAAACCTGCTCTCCTAATTTCATCAACCCAAAGGAAAACCAGAGAGTGAGAGAGACACAGACACGGACACACTGACCGGACAAACAGAACAGGTAGTGTGAAGCTCTGGGCAGACACAGACAGACTCGGTTCCTCCTGGGCTCACATGGAGTGAGTGTGAGTGAGTGTGTGTGTGTGTGTGTGTGAGAGAGTGAGAGAGAGAGAGAGGTGACTGAACAACAGCTGAGGCAGTTTCCCAGGTCCGTTTCCCATGCCCAGAGCCAGGTAGGGTGAGTGGCCCCTGAGGATGGTGGGAAGGGTGGGTGGCACACCCGAGGGCCCTGGCTGCAGTGTGGGGGTTGGAGAGGGGGGCACAACACCAGAGCAGCACCCACCTGGAGCCCTCAGTAGGGCCGGTTGGCATCCTTAGGCCGCTTTAGCTGGACTTTGAGGCGCTTCATGCCGATCTGGAAACCATTCATGGCCTGGATGGCCGCCTGGGCACTGGCCGGATTGTCGAAACTCACAAAGCCTGGGGTGAGAGGGGCATAAGGCCAGCCCGGCCCACCTCCCTCTCCTGCCGTGGGCCCAGGGCTGCCGCTCCAGCTCTCCAGACCTATTTCTTCTAGGTCTCACTAATGCCTAGAATACTGCCTGCACACCATGGGCACCAGGAAGTGCGTGCTGATGGGTGGGCTGAGCGCGTGATCCCAGCACAGCCACTTACAGAACGAGGACACGCTTTCCAGCACTCTCTGCAGGGTGGCCTCTTCCTCCGCCTGGTTATGTCTGAATCGGCCTTTTGAAAACTGTCATCGCCAGACCTTACATGGCTTTGAAACAAAGTCCCTGGAGCAGCCTTTCAAAGATGTGAAGTGACTAAGACCTACCCCCTTTGGAAAACCAAACTCCCCAGACGGAGCCTACTTGACTCCATCAAGTATGAATTTGGCGGGTGAACTTTTGTGGATGTACATGCCCAGAATCAAACCCAGGGCCTCAGGCGTGCTAAGCACCCGCTCTACCAGCCAGCCATGTTCTGGCCAACGTTGGTCCTAACAAGATAAAGCTGTGGTTTTCTACAGGAAGAGAAGAGCTCAGGTGCAATAAGTATGGGATGCAGGGTGTGTCAGAGACGGTCCTGTCCTGCCCTCGGACACTCAGGATCTCAGGTTCAGGGCCCATTGTGACCACAGCGCTTTCAGTGGTATCAGACCGTGTTCTAACGTGGAGTTTGGCAACAACAACAACAACATGTCTACACTTGGTCTTTTGGATCATCGTATTCTTACCAAAACATTTGCTCTGATTGGTGGCCCGGTCAACAAAGACTTTGGCTGAGATGACATGGCCAAAGGGGACAAACATCTGGAGGATCTCTGAGTCCGTGAACTCCTGGGGCAGGTGGTAGATGAAGATGTTACAGCCATCAGGGCCTGGGTGGCGGCAGAGACCGAGGACGTGAGCAACAGGGTGCCAGGAAGCAGACCCCGCAGGACCCTCCACTCCTAGCCCAGCATGTGGCCAGGGCTCCGACCACCTCATCCCCATTTGTTTTCATCCCCACACACGGGCAGGAGCTAGGTTTGGCACAGGGCAATCGGAAGTCCCTGAGACCACAGGAGGACCTTCCTATCCCTGAAGGCTTGTGGCTAGGAGGACCCTGCCCAGGCCTAGCACCTTCTCGCTGCTGCTGCTGCTGCTGCTGCTGTTGCTGCTGCTGCTGTTGAGGCGGAGGTGGAGGCTGCTGGGCCACTAGGGCGGGAGGCTGCGGGAACGCAGGCGCAACCAGGCTGTAGGCTGCCGGGTAGGCTGCTGGGGGGGACAGAGAGAGCCAAGGTTAGGCTACTAGGGGGGGACAGAGAGAGCCAAGGGTAGGCTGCTGGGGGGGACAGAGAATGCTAACGGACAGACCTCCCTCCCCTCACCCAGGCCAGTGGGATCCCCAGAGCTAAGGTCTGTCAGGAAAAGCCCCTCGGCCCTCCAGACCCATCCTGTGGATAAGGCTTGTCCAGAAAGTGCAAGGAGGCACTGGCAGAGCCGAGAAGCCCAGATCCACACCTGGCCTCCTTCCTCTTGTGGTCCCCCCACCCGGGCAGGGCCTGTGCGAGGAGCCTCACCTGTATAGTGCTGCATCCCTGCGTAGGCCTGCTGCAGGGGGTCCACGGGGGCCGCGGGGCTCTGGGCTGCAGAGAGCAGGGACCCTGAGTGGCTGGCACCCAGCAGGAGCCCCCACCTCCGAGCAGCAGAGACGGGCAGGGGAGGAGAGCCTCTGCTGGGCACGGGGTGCGGGGCCATAAGGCAGGAAGGACTGGGGTCTGGCTGTCGTGCTACCCTGGAGAAGTGGTCCCAGCTCTGAGCCCCAGCTTCCCTGGTCAGAAATAGGGAGTACCCCTGCCCAGGATGGAGGAGCCTGACCAGCCCTGGAACCCTGGGGCTAGATAGGGGCGGTGTGGCCTGACTGCCAGGACAGGACAGGTGGCTTGGAGGAGGACCAGGCAGGGTGACAGGCGGAGGGCCCACCTGGGTAGGGGTGAACCCCGTTGGGATACAGAGCGTCGGGGGCAGGCTGCCCAGTGGGCTGGGTGGGCACCGGGCTGTAGCCGTTGACGCCCAGGGCAGCAGGGATGGCAGAGACGGGCGTGGCAGCGATGGCAGGAGGGGTGCTGGTTCCTGGGAGAAGGGGACACAGAGGCGGAGGCCCAGTCAGCGAGCCTGAGGGCGGCGGAGCAACGAGCCCCCCTGGGCCCCACCAGGCCGTAGTGCCCTGGCCCCCGTGATGCCCAGCCCGGCCCTGCCCTGCACAGGCCTCACCTGAGGAGGGGGTGATGGGGGTGGCGATGAGGCCGTTGGCATTGATGGCGGCCATGTGCTGCATCTGCACGGCAGCCATGGTGGCCATGGGGCTGAGGTAGGCACTGTGGGCCGCTACCAGGGCCGCCTGCTGCTGCATCAGCTGGAAAGAGGGACACAAGGTGGGCTGGGCCCAATGTGTCGGGAAGATGGGGCAGGACACGGCGGCCAGGAGAGACGGGACGGGCCAGGCTCAGCCAGGGCGAGTGCTTACGGCCTGGGTGTAGGCGCTGTAGGCTCCAAACTGGAGGGCGATGGGGCTGAACATGCCCAGCTGGGTGGCCACCTGCTGCATGCGTCGCAGACCTCGCTCCTTCTCGGTGTCAGCGAACTTCACCACCAGGCTGGATGAGGCACCCTGGGCACGGGCCCCACATGCAGGTCAGAGAGAGAGACAGTCAGCACCTCTCTTCCCCAGGGGCCAGCCCCTGGCCTCGTCCCGCCTCCTGCACTGGCGTCTTTGGATCAGAAGCCAATTGGGGAGATTCTGCTCTACCCTCTCCCTGCGCCAGGATATGCAAAAGGCTAGAAAGAGTGGGGGACCGTGAAAGGGCGTCACCGCTCCTCCAGAGGATCCACACCTGGAAGTCCTCCCCTTGGTGGAAGAACCACAGCAGAAGTCTACTCCTGCCCCAGAACTGCCCCCACCTCCTATAGGGCTCCTGCCCACAGCCTGGCCCTCATGGTGTGCTCAGTGGATGCAGCCTCAGGCTCTAACACCAGCCTGAGCTGAGTTAAACACACACTGGGACATTTCAAGGACTGTCATAGAGTCTTAGGCTCTAGAGTGGCAGGGGCCTGGGGTCACCTAACAGGGTTCTCCATCCCATGCTGTCTCCTCCCCTCCGAGCCCCGCTCAAGGCTGCCCAGCTCTGCTGGAGACCACTGCCAGCCCTCAGGGCTCCGGAGTCGTTCAGAGGTTTGTTCTGCTGGGGTTCCCAGAGGCACTCAGGTGACCAACACCAATGTCAACATGCATGGGGCTTCTAAGCAAGAGTCTGGCACCCCAGAAAGTGGGGTGGGAATATGGCAGGTCTGAAAGCCATGTAGGAGGATGGAAGGGCTGAGGAACGGAGGCAGAAGAGGAGCTGAGGGCCTGGGACTGAGGGTGAGGTGGGTATAGGAGAAGAGAGGTGGGGAGAGGCTCTTTGACATACGGCCCTAAAGGGATTGTTTTTCTGCCAAGACATTCCTTCAGATAACTGAAGAGGGCTGGGGACGTCACTCAGTTGGTCGAGTGCCTGCCTCGCGTCACGAGGCCCTGGGTTCCGTCCCCAGCACCACCAATGAGTGAAGAATCCTATCCTGAGTGGACTGCCCCTCTGCGCCAGGGCCTGGGAGGGGAGGCTGGGGAGGGGGCTGGGCTCACAGGCAGGGTCCGGCTGCTGTGGAGGGTGTTGATGGCGGCCTGGGCCTCAGCATGGGTCTGGAACTTCACGAAGGCGCAGCCTAGAGAGGTGGAGATAAAGAAGAGAGGGGTGAGCCCCACCTCAAGGCCACGGGAGACCTACTGATAAGGGACCAGCAGGGAGGCACAGGAAGGCCAGCGGGAGAGGAGCGGTAACTACCTTTGCTGGTGCCATCTGGCCCCCGGAGCACAGTGCACTCATCTATGGTCCCGAAGGGCTCGAACATCTTCCGAACGTCCTCATCTGTCTGCTGCTTCCCTAGCATCCCCACAAAGAGCTTCCGGTCTTCTGGGGGGTAGGGCACAGGAGGAAGGGCATGCTCAGGCCTCCAGCTACTGTCCCAGCCTCTTCCCCCGCCTCTCTTCCCTGGAGTCTGCCACTACTTCCCGCCCTGGGGACCAACGCCAGGGTGTGAAGTGGGTGCCGCTGGGAGTAGGCTGCTGGCGGCTCGGAAGGACTTGCACTCCACTGAGCCTCCGCGTGGCCATCTCTCCCGAGGCCAATCTCCATCCCCTGCAACCACACGGACTCCCCTCTCCATCTGGCCTGGGAACTCTTCAGAATGATCAGAATTTCTTCCTGGAGGAAGACCGCCCCTCACCTCCCCAAGCCCTGGGCCTGGGGTGGGAAGAGAGGCATGGAGTCTCGGGTGCGGACCTACCTCCTCGGCTCTCGCTGTCGGCGGGCTTGACCTGGATCGGCCTGTTCATCTGAAGGAGAGAAGAGAAGGCAGATCTAGGGCCTCCCAGAACTCCCAGGAGCCTCCCGCTGGCCTGCAGAGGCTGGGAGAGCAAGCCCCAGGCCCAGGCAGTTTCCCTAGCCCCTAAGTTTCCGATGGGCAGCAAGGGCCGGGCCTAATCTTGTCTAGGATTAGGACCCGAGGGGATTAGAGGCAGGAGAGAGAGGATGTGAGGAAGATGCTCATGGGCACATGGGCTCAGCTTGGCCCCAGTGCCTGGGCCAGGGACAGGTGCTACTCTTCCTAGGGGAGAAGGGGTCCTGCCCATAGGACCCAGGCCCTGAGACAAAACCCAGCCAAGGGACTATTCAAGAACTGCCTTCCTCCTACAAAGTCGGAGCAACACAGGCCACCCCATGGAGAAGCCCCCAAGGACTCTAGACTGAGGGAGACCCCACAGAGGCCCAGACTTCCTTCTGACCCCTGGAGGTGTGTCTGCTTCTCTTTCTGCCCCCCTACACCCCTTGACCCCAGGGGGAAGGCACTCGGGCAGCACAAAGGGAGCAGATGCCCAGTCTCCGTGGCAACGGGAGAATGCGCACCATGGCAACCGCCCACTCAGCCTGATTTATCCGTCCCCGTCGCCCTGGCGACCGTGGTGACGTCATCACTTCGGCTGCTCCACACACCCGGAGCAGGAGTGGGGAGGGGGGTGGGAACAGGGTTTGCTGGGGTGGAGGACTGGGTGGGGGCTGGGAGATGGGGGAGGGGCCAGGAAAGCGTCCTGGTCCTGGAGGGAGGTGTGCAGAGCCAGCCCGTGGGGGCCACACTGCCCCTTCTCTGCCTCCCTCCTCCAGAGCACATCCCGCTGTCTGCAGAGACAGCGCTGAAGGAACAGAGGATGTCCCCAGCTCCTTCGCAATTCTCCCTGGCTCAGAAGTCCCCCAGAGCTCTCCCCTCTCCCTGACCCTGCAGGGTCCCCCTTTGTTCAGTCTTCAGTGGGGATGGGGAATCACTAGTTCACTCTCCATGTCTTGTTTGGTGAGAGGACTTGGAAATGACTCCCACAGGTTGGTTTCCTTAGCAGGGTGGGGAGCTTGGTAGGAACCGGAAATGGAGAAGGACTCAGCTGCAATGTCTGAGGACTTTGACCACTGGGACCACACCTGTCCCCCTCATTCACCTGATGGTGGGGCAGTCCTATTCCAGTGCCTGTGAATAAATAAAAGTAAGAGTCGGGGCCGGGGCTGGGCTCAGTGGTAAAGGCACCGGGTTCGATCCTCAGCACCTCATGAAACTAAATAAAGATGCTGTGTGCTCATCTACAACTAAAAAAAAAAAAATTTAAAAAGTAAAAAACTGTTCCTTTGCATTCTGGGGGTGGGGCTGTGAGTTAGGAGACCTGGGCATGGGACCAACCAGCCCAGCCTTCCACTAGTTGTGTGACCTTGGGTTAGTCACTCTCTGCTCTGCCCTTCAACTTCCTCATCTGAAAAACAAGGGGGCCGACCAGGTGGTCTCCAGTCAGGTTCCCTTCCACGCTGGTGTCCCAGCGTTTGGAGACTCTGTGTGGCATCACTCAACCCAAAATGCAGAAATAACAGCTGCCCCTGCACCTCCTTATGCTGGACCCATGTGCCAAGTCACGCCTGGCACTCTGCAAGTCAGGCATTCACAGCCTGGGACCAACCCGAAACCCACCTCAAAGGGCACTCCTGCGCCAGGCCAGGCCCCACCCCCAGATCTCTGGGTCTGAGAGCAGCTGGTGGGGGAGGGAGGTCACAGTCCACAAATCCTCCAGCCAACAGCCCCCAGCTTTATCTCCCACCAATCTGGGATTATCCCATCTGGGGCTCAATCTCCTTAGGAGTGTGTGTGTGTGTGTGTGTGTGTGTGTGTGTGTGTGTGTAGGCCTGGGGTCAGAAGCCAGGGGCTTCATGGTCCTATACTGCAGCCAAAACAATCAGGAGATTTCCTCACAGACACCTTGGCAGAACCAGCTCGCCCCACCAGGGGCTCAGCACAGGGGACTCTTATGCGTGGCACCAACCCCTTCCCAACAGGCTCTTGGGGATTTGCTGTTCTGGTTGGAGACGGGAACCTGGGACCCAGAGAGAAAGGATGTGGTTCCCTCCCTGCACAGACTTGCAGGCACGAAAATAGCTCACAGTAAACAGCACGGCTGAGGTGGGTTCTCAGACACTCCAGTGCCCAGCCACAGCGGGCACCATGGCCAGGGAGACCGCCACTCCCTCCAGGCCCCCGGTGCCCACTTCCAGCCTCCTTCCTCCTGGCCCAGCACTTCCTGTGGGAAGCTCAGGCTTTGTTAGCTCAGCTCTGGCACACCTGCCCCCTCCCCTGAGTCCAGCTGTGCCCTGTTTACCTGGCAACCCGGCAGGCGCCTCTTTCCTAGCTACCACCCACCAGGTGATAAGCCCTCCCCAGGGCCTCCCAAAGAGGAAGGGGCAACTTCTACCCCAACCAAGAATCACTGAGCTGCCTCGGACAGGATCGCTTTTAAGTCCCCATCCTTCCCACCAAGAGCAAAGCCCCCTTTTCAAGAAGAGCTCATTGTTCCCACAAAGTCTAATTGTCTCGTGGGTGCAGGTCTTCCACTCCTGACTCGACAACTCTTCTCTGTGCCTGGATCCCTCACAGGTGGAGCCAGAGCCCACCTTCCCCTGTCCACAGAGTGGGATTTCGCAGAGTGAAGGAAACAGAAGAGGACAAACAGATGCATCCTCCAAGAGACCCCACCTGGCTCACAGGACCCCTTCAGGAACCTGTAGCAAAGCAGCCCCTGGGAGCTATTAGTGGAGAGAAGAGGAAGTGGGGCTTAATAGTCATAGATGCAACCCCCATTCTTTCTTTATGCAGCCCCAAACACTACTCTAATATGGTAGCACCTTCTAGATTTGGTGGTAAAAAAGATGGGGAGCAAGGAAAGAGGGTTAAATGCCCTTATTAAAAAAAGAACCTGCACCAGGCATGGTGATGCATACTTATAATACCAGATACTTGGAAGGTTGAAGTAGGAGGATTGCAAGTTTGAGGCCAGCCTCAGCATCTTAGTGAGATCCTGTCTCAAACTAAAAAATAAAAAGGGCTGAGGTTGTAGCTTAGTGGTTGAGCACCCCTGGGCCAATCCACGGTACTGGGCAGAAGGGGACCTGCAGTAAGAGGGCTTGGAGATTACAGAGTAGGAAGAACTTCCCAACAGAATCATGCAGCAGCTGACACACTGTACACACTGAACACACACACACACACACACACACACACACAATCTAAGGGAAAAGGCAAAGAACCAGGAAGGTAAAAAGGGCCAGGGAGGACTTGCTTGCAGACACCTGCTTGCCTTGAGCTCCTTGGGTCTGCTCCCCAAGCCCCCGGCCAGAGGCACCCCGTGGGAGAGTGGGACCCCTCATTTCTTATTGGAAGCTGTCAGGTCTCTCTAGATTCTGTCCCCTGGGGCAAGGGCCAAGGTGGGAACTCTGTGTCACCTGGAAGCTTTGGAGAAGAGCTAGACAATCATTAACCTGGGCTCCCTTCTCCCTCCCCCTCCCTGGGGCCTTAAGAAGGGTAGGCAGTGTCTCTGTGTCCTGGACACAGGGTAGATACCCCCAGTGGCAGGACCCACACTTGGGACTCACACCCACCCCTGCCTGTCTCCAAGTCCCCACTCTGGTCTCCCTTCTCTCTCTCTCTCTCTCTCTCTCTCTCTCTCTCTCTCTCTTCCCCTGATCCCCTCTGGTTTCTGCAGAGACTCTGAAATAGGGAGCCAACAGGGAAAGACTAATGGCAATGGATGTGAAAACTCTTGATTTGTTAGGGGCATCCAGAGAGAGAAGGGAGGGAAAGAAAGATGGGACTCAGTGGGGACCAGGCTCATGTGTGCCCCCCCACATCTGGCCTTCTGGGTGCTCACATGCGTGCGTGCACGAACACATGCTCGCCCTGGATCCCAGAGCCTCTCGCACACATGCAGGGTCCTCCGCTGTGCAGGGACGCTGTTCTAGCTACCGAGTGGGACAAGGTGGTGGGGGAGGGGCAGCGGGGTTACCTTCCCGGCTGAGGGCTGAGGGCAGAGGCCAGGGAGGACCTGGAAGGGTTTGAGGTTGGGAGAGGTTCAAACAGTTCTGATTTTCTTGGATCCTCTCCTCCCTGCCCCCATCTGTTCTGTCTGTTTCCCTCCCAGGAAGAGATGGATGATCAGCACCATTCTCTGCTTCCCACGTGGGGAAGGAATAGAGGCCAGATGTGTCTCCAGCACCCAGACTGTGCTGAGCAAATGTTTGCTGAGAGCAGGGGTGGAGTTAGATCTCAGGAAGTACTTCCTGGGATTCACAGTCTGGGGAAAACAGAAGCAGACAGAGCAAAAGGGAATGGGGTCTCCTCTCCCTGCAGTTTCAGGAGTTGGGTGGGGGGCAGCCTGAGATTCTTTATTCCTAACCTCAGTTGTCACCCAAGCTGGGGACAGTCTGCAAGGCCGACTGAGAAAAGAAACAAAGAGATGTGACCTTACTGGGGGGGGGGGGACACCACATCAGGGCCATCCCAGCCTCCCTGGGCGCACTGGGCAGGGCAGGGGCAGGCCTGCTTCTCCACGGTGTTGCAAGCCCTGTCCGGGCTACCTCATCCTCATGTTCAGGCCTTGCTCGAGCCTAGGCCTGTGCCTGTTCCCAGGGCTCTTCCTTGGAGACCCGAGGGGAGCATGGCTGAGTTCAGAAACCAGCACGAGGATGCCAACCAGCAGGCCCAGCTGCCCGGTCCCAGGGTGGCAGCACCCCTCCCCCATCTCACAGCCCCCCCAGGCTGCTTCTCCAGAGCCACAAAAGAGTGCTTGGGTGCCTCTGTCAACCCGACCCGTGGCTCCTGGTCCAGGGTCTTCTCCCCACACTCCCCACTAAGTCTTCCCTCCAGCACGGTCCTGAGGGCAGGTGGGGAAGTGGGGGAGGGGCTGCATCTGCACCTCAGAAAGGAAAGGTCAGTTTACTCCACTAAAGGTTCTTGTTCCTCCTTTCCAGGTAACAAGAGGAAAATGCATGCATCTGCAGTCAGAAAGGTGGATGCTGAGAAGAGAGGGACTTCCTGGTGATGACAGCGGGGGAGGAGTGCCCTGCCACCTCTAAGGCCTTCTGGCCTCCTGGCCCTGCACAGGACGGCACTCACCCCTGGAAGCGTCTTCTGTTCGTGCAGGGCACTCTGGGCCTTCAGGGCTGAATCGCGGGCACAGTATGTCAGGAAGGCACATCCTGAGGAGGGGCAGGGGCAGAGAGACAGGGTGGGGGTGAGTCCTGGCCTCCCTCCCTGACGGGCTCCCCCAGGAGACAGAGGGGACTGGGGGGCTTTTCCCATCTTGCCATCCTGCCTGCTGGGGTGGGGAGCTCTGAGGGGTGGACGCTCGGTCTCAGAAGTGGGCCAGAGACCTGGAGCTCTGCATGCTGGGGAGGTGGACCAGGGAGGGTGCCGGGCTCTTAGGAGATGGCCCAGACAGAGCTCATGGCCTGGTTCTCTCTTCCTCATCCGCTCTCCCTCCTCTTCCTCCCTTGCCTTTTCTTCCCCTCCATCTTGGCCACCCCTCTGCTCTCCTGTTTTGCCTGCTTTCTCCTGTCTCCCTGATGCCAGGGGAGGCAGGTACAGGGTGGAGAGTGGATCAGAGAAGGAGAGGAGAGAGCAGTTAGCCGGAAGTGCTTTTTCTCGGAGCCCAGTGGTGGGAGGGAGGGAGTGTGGCCCTCCTTTCCCCAGCGATTGGAGCTCTCCAAGCCCTGACCCTGGGTCAACCCTGCTTAGCCACACAGTCCTTGGAGAGACCTCAGGGCATCCTCCCTTTTAACTTTCTAAGTCCCCTGTGCCACTCAGACCCTCACCAATCTATCCTTCCTGCCCTACTTCTCAGGTCATTTCCACAGGCTGGGCACCTGACTGTGCCCTGACCCACGTCCCAACATTATCTGAGGCTACTCAGAGTCTCAGTTCTGCCCAAGACACACACACACACACACACACACACACACACACACACACACACAC